TAGCCTAGCACCAGCCTAACCTGACTCAACGTTGTAACGATGTATATTTATACAACAGCTGGGCGGCGAGGGAGGGGAGTGTGCCAGTCAGCTGATTGAAGCGCTGGAGGGGAAATAGTGGAGGGGAGAACGACCTTTATTTAAAGCGCTCGAGGAAGCCTTTCTTCGACTGGTAAACAGTCATCGAATGAACATGCGAGACACACATACGTGTTTACGTATGCTCGTGACTGAAATAATAACGTTGAATTTTTACCTTCCCCCACCTTCACATTCTTTCTTCGTCATAAGGTAGAAAAGAGGGGGAAGGAGAGAAGGAGAGAGAAGAATGTTTCGCGAGTTTCGAGACGCCGCGCCGCGTCGGCGTATTAACATAATTAACCGGAATCCAGACGTTCCGCAGACACGATGCTTTTCTTTTTCCATCTATATACACTGTGTGCCATAATTACTCGAAAACTTTCAATTTTTATGTATTGTGTTATGAATTACGTTAATACGGCGGGGAACGAAGTCGTCTCGAAACGATTTGTTCTCTGCTTTTTCTTTAAACGAGCTGGGTTTATTCACTGGAAAAAGAGGTAAACGGTAGGAAAATAGTTTCTTATTCTTCTTTCAACTAGATCGAATCAACGTGATAATAATTTCATTAAATAAAAGTTGGACTCTGAGAATACAATAATTTTTACAAATACAATAACTGTTCGATTTTACATGCTTCTGGTTGCATTTTGTCCGATTACATGTTCTATCTGTGATCTCTATGAGAATTGCAAGTTTTTGGATAATTCTAAAGCTGCGAGTCATTGTCAAAAATATCGTTGTTTGTCGATAATAAAATACAAGTTATCCACTAAAGTCTTAGTATATCGCCTACGTAATAAGGTTGAGTTTTAATCGAGATGTAATCGCCATAGTTCTATAATTCTTCGCAACCTCGACGTCTGAAAGGTCAAGGCCTGCGAAGACCTTCGCCGATGATTGTACGGTGGTTTGGAAAGAATGAAAGGAAAACAAATAGTACTATTGTTCCGTTACTACGAGCCTTACTATTATCGACTTTTCATTCATCGATCACTCCGTATATATACGTATGTAACCTAAATATTCCATTGAAAATTCTTTTCTCTGTCTATCTTAAATAAAAAAAACTTCGAAACAAGGTCTAATATCCAGATTGCTACCGATTTACGTGAAATTTAAAACAGCAAAAATACACAAAGTGCATGTACGTGATACATAAAAATGTATAAAATATTCAAATCAGACATTCCACTTAATTTACTCTAATCTTCGATAAGTAAAACGAATCTCAATCACATATGTCCATTGACGTATATCCAGAGAACACGGAAATTTGCATAAAAATCCTAATAGTAATCTCTTTGAGAGAAAATTCAACTTAAGAAGCAGGAACCTGTCGTTCGTTTCTCGTCAAAACTTCCTGGCCATTGTTACCAAGTGCCATCAGTTTCCACGGCAAAAATGTTCGCCTTCCTCCGCCCTGTTCCCCATCCCTGTTATTCTTCTATCGCGAGCGTCTACCCGGCGAGGAAACGATCCATACGGCGGTGGCACGAAGTTAACGGTTCTAACGAAACGCTGATGCTCGTTTTCAGGGGACTGGCATGGAGAAGGAGAACTCCGCATCGGGCGGAGGTGGCGGGGGCGGTGGAGGTGGCGGAGGTGAAGCGGCGGCCACGGCGACTCCAGGCGCCACCTCCGCCTCCGAGAAACTGCAGGCGGACCAGGCCAATCCGTTGCTCGATCCGACTGCGCTCTTCGGTGGTAAGCCAATTTTTCTTCCCCCATTTTTTCCTCTTCCCCGTTTCTAGCTTCTCCTTCTGCTTCTTTTTTTCTTCCACGATATATATTTTTCTGTATTTCTGTATCTCGTGCGCACGTTCTTCTTACCGAGATCTAGCTGTCGCATATATAGATATGTACACTTCCGTTGATAAGTCACCCAACATTTATCCACTTTGGCCGAAAAAACACAGGAAGTTGATGAAATTTTGTACAAAAATTTGTGCGATTTCCAAAAATCCAGAAAGTCGTGCCTGTTTATGTCGTCGTAGTCGTTTCGCGCACAATAAGGATATTTCCAATGACATGGATTATACGTAGATACACTAACACGTTACTAGGCTTACAACGCGAGTCCTCTTGGTCCGAGCGGCTTAATTGACACGCGCGTCTTGGCAGATCGATAGGCCGGCAATAGACGAGCTAATTACACTAAAGTGGAATTCCTGGACGTGTTGAAATTTCAACGATTTATGCGTTAGTCCGTGATCGATGGGTTTTCCTTCACAGTATTTTTCTGAGAACTGGAGCGATTTCCGTGTTTTGGCAAATAATCATGGCAGAAGATTTCTTTTTGTTAAATATGATAAATAATTTGTTTGGTCGAAATTAGGAAATCTCTTATTTTGGTAAAGTTGTAGAACTCTGTTAATGATATGCTACTGTTTGATTTCATATAATTCATTGCACAAAGAGATAATAAATTCGTCAAGTTCACTTTTTCTTCATTAAAACTTTCTTCAGTCGCGTACCAAAGGATTTTAGAGTTTTTTTTTTAGTTCTTACAAATCTAATAGAGATTTATTCCATCTCTACATAAATTATCATATCCAAGTGTCTAATTAACTCGTTTCAGACTCTCGTAACCCGTTAAATGGGAAAAACGAGTCGTTATTATTCATTATCGGGATTATAAATGTATTTTCGTTGGATAGAACGCAGGCAATGTCGAAGCATCTTTAAAATTCTACAAAATTCTGTAAGATCAGACTGTAAGAATCAAATATAGCTCGAATGAGTAAGACGAGGAGAACCAATGAAATCGCTGCGATTAATAACAACATGATCTATGCTGAAAAGCATTGGATATTGAATGAGATTATCGACGTAATCCCTTTTGCTTGCTGCCGTTAATCAAGCTGTTTGCACTAATGCGAAATATCGCGGAGACGCTATATAAATTCTCTTTCGGGTACCTCGTTTATCTATAAACGAATAAATATTACTATAGTTGGTATACACTTGGTGTTTACAACGATCTGTATTTACGATGTTGAAGTATCAACAGGTTATCGAAATATCAATTGTTCCAAAATCAATTCGATAAATCCTGCAATTTTTATAATTTACGAATTTGTATTAATATTATCATGCATCGTGTGTATATATACATATTTATATATGAAAATACTCGAAAGTTTTAGATTTCTCGCGTTTAGCAAAATAGTCATATGATATAGGTAATCAGTAGATAATTTCGTCTAAATTATGTAGATTATTTTAGATTGCACATATGTTTCAATAAGATAACCGTTATATCAACCCTTTGCACTCGACATTAATTTTTATCTCAGCAGTTTCTTTGTCGAATCGCAGCCTTTTTTGTAAAACGTGCGAAGGAAAAGCAGGATTGTATCCTGGAAATTGTTTCAAGATATATCCGTAGAGGTTGTTCAGTCGTGTTCAACTCACACCGATTTGTAGAGGTTTATGTGTAGAGGATGGTTGATCGGTGACGTTTAATGGCCGAGATTGCTCGTTGTTGAAACCGTGGAATATATTTAAAATGATAAATTAGTATGCCGATAACTAAGTGTATTCGTTGATAACTGGTTGATAACCGATCGACAACTAACCGTAAATCCTTTCGCTGCGATCGCGTTCGCTTATTTATACTGGTCGGGGAGAAGTCGGAAAATTCAAATTCGTCTTCGTTCGACGGTTGTACGTACCGGCGACATTGTTTTGCTCGGAGTTTGTTTATTCTTACGTTACGTGTATCCTAACGATCTTGATCTCCGAGGCAAAACAATAACACGATTTGAATTGTCCTCTAACTCATGTGCCGCTACATATACACTTAAAAATTACAAAATACGACAATAGTGAGGATAAGACTGGTATTTAAGTGAATTTCCTTCTTCCTTTATTTATTTAAATTGTTATTAGTTTTTAGTTGAAGTAAATTTCGAATAAAACACTAAAAAGCATTGGGAGCTGCTGCTAACGAAATTGAAATAAAATTCCCAGTGCAAAGGGTTAATGGCATGTAATTTTCTGACGTATACGTGTACTGGATTTTTTTCAATTTTTAAACTTGTTGAAGTGGTCACCACTTCTAAGATAACTCTACGTCTGGTCTTTTTAGTTTTCTCAAGCGCCGAAGCCATCGACAGCGCGTAGACAAAAGACTGCGACGAAGACAGACCATAAACAATAGACAGGCGACGTGAGTTTTCAGTTATTGGGTAACACAGCTAGCGTGAGGATCTGGACCAGTTTAAATTGTATTCCTACTTATAATTACACTTCTATTTAAATATATTTTCTACCTTACAATTTATCCACCAGTTTCTCTGTTTACGCATCGAATAATCTCAACAAAACTAATGGAAAAATTGTGCCAAGACTTGTGTACCAGGGAGCTACTTCATGAAAGTATCAAATTCGTTCACGAGAAGTCTGTTAGGTTTATGAATACTCTACTCTTAAAATCAGTTCGACGAACCCTTCACTCTGTCATTCATAAAATGTACAGTATCAAGAGCCTGGAAAGTACGTCTCAAGTTCAAGGTCGTGACCTGGAGTACCTACTTATTTTAAAAAGCAACTCTCACTCCGTTTCAAGGTTGTCGAACTCTCCCCTCAGCCCCCTATATTGTAACTTGAAACTTACCTAGGTATCCATATATTAAAAGTTTACTGCCACACTTCGTTACTACATCATTATGCTAAACCGGATTAATCTATTCATGGTGATTATCGCTTCAGGTATTTCAAGTTAAAGCTATAAATCGTAATCAATTAGAATCCTTTCCTGTCATAAACAGGCGACATTCTTATCATAGGAAGTTAACCTGTTTAAACATTGTAGTTTAACAAACTATCGACTAACTAACTTATAAAATTTATCATAACGTTGGTATATTACATTTTCTTTAAACGACACCAGCAAAAGTGTATTTCTGTTATCAACCTTTTAGGGGGGGGGGGGGTATTAAGGGGGGCTAAGGTTAATTCGTACAAAAATAAGGCGTGTTTTTGTGAATTATTCGTGACGACACAGTTAAAATCTCTTTATTAAAAACAATAGTACATTGAAGTATGACATTCGAAGAATATTGTATAAAATTTTCACGGAGGAATTCCCGTATTTTTTAATATTTCTCCGTGAAAATTTTATACAATATTCTTCGAATGTCATACTTCAATGTACTATTGTTTTTAATAAAGAGATTTTAACTGTGTCGTCACGAATAATTCACAAAAACACGCCTTATTTTTGTACGAATTAACCTTAGCCCCCCTTAATAGAAAGTAACTTTTCCCATAACCTATGTATCATTCAGTCCTGAAAGGGTTAAAGGATAGCCTTGAAATCTCTCACACGTGAAAATTTGGTAGAAAATTCTGCAAAAGGAGGGATGTATTTTAGCGAGCGATTGATAAAGAGAAACTTCCCCCCATAATACGAATACAATTAATTTGTCAGATAACCGAAGGTAACCTTGTAAAATCAACCTTGAAATCTTGCAGACGCCGCGTATTATCGGCATAATCGACATCGCAAAGCCAGATTTCCGGTCGGAACAATTCTCGAATATGCGTTCTCGATATCGTGAATCACTGTAAATGCGCACGTTCTCCGACACATTAATAACACAACTGTATAGGTGTATACGATCATTCAACACATTCTGCAAGTTCCACGAAGTGTGTGTTCCTCATCGAGGAAAACGCAAACGGCGTACTACGAAACAGAGTCGAGAACGAACTTGCACAGACGTTATTTCTCCAAGTTTCAGACCTTGAACAAGCATCGAGATCGTTCAACTTTCGCTCAGTTTTGATATACGGGCGAAACCGTATATCATACTTATTTCCATAACTTATTCGAAGAAAACGACCACCATTTGACAATCATTGTTTGCATTTTATTTTATTTGAAGCATTTTTCAATAGAAACTTATTACGAAACACACACGCTGCAGTGAATTATTAAGTTTCTTGTGTTTTCAAGTGCTCCGATCTTACTTTCCACGATAATCAAAAGCGTATTATAGCGTTTTGGTTGCCGGTAGGTAAGTTACACGAATAAATATGATAACAATGTTCATTTACGTAATGTTTCCAAGATCACTGCTAATTATGTAGCCTAACAGTAGCCTACTTCTGGGGTACAAGTGTTTTCAGTTCTGGGATACAATAGCGCGGAGTAAAATCGTCATGTAGTATCGTTATCGTTCATAAATTACCGTTCAATCTTTTGGTAGTACCGAAGCGTCCTGTTTTGGGACCAAGTTTTCAGGACAGAAAAAATAAAAAAAAAAACAAAATCATATAAAAGCTCCGCTCCCCAGCGGCTCAAACCCAAAAATTGTATTAAACACAAAAAATGTAAAGCACCGACACATAACGTAGTATAGCTACGTCGTACCGCCGCGTATCGATACCTTTGCCTAACACATCATTACAAAAATTCACCGTTTATTCTGAATACCAATACGTATTTAAAACTGTATCTTGGGTTAAATAAATATCATTAAAAGAAAAAAATCTTTTGGTAGTAACAGGTAGAAATAAAAATTGACGAACGAAAGGTGTAGAGCAAACGATCCTAAATACAAGACAAAACAGTGAAAATGACTTTTACGTATATTAACACGAGAAATATGGAGTAAGCCACGAAGATTGTGTACAGCGCATAAAATGTGGTGGAGAGGCAATCGAACTTGATCATTTTCAATATCGTCGTTGTTGAT